AAAAATCCATTCGCCTTACCTTGAAAATTAGTAGCTCTTTGGCGTTTTCTTTTTGTAAAAGTAGCTCACTGGAGTAAAAAGGTTGGAGACCCTGATAATCCTCCTTTAGGGTCACTGAATCAGTGCCAAAAATTAGTTCCAAAATGATCGTTTATCGTCTATATTTTTTCATTTATCGTCTGTATTATCGAGACGTGCATAAAAAGAGCCGTGCTATGGATATTAGCTGGCACGTAGCTGGTTATCCTCTGTGATGCCTCCTGAGCTCTTAATATTTGATTTTTTCGAAGTCTGTGAGGAATAATGAATGGGAAATTTACTTCGGGAGGTCACTGTTGAGCTCCATCACGGGGCACGTTAGATTACGGAGCGTGTTATTACAGGTTGTTACACAGTGAAAGGTAGTGTACTGTGACCCTGTATCATGGTCATGTGACGCTTTGAATCAGGAGGCAGTCGGCGCGGTCAGACTTTCTTCCGTGTCATAAAGGCCTTGTATCCAATTTTCTTTCCGTGTGTTTGAGCAAAATTTATCTTGCCCCAGTACAGATGTTGTATGAGGAGCTCTTGAGGTCAAAATAAGCGCTGTGTACAGTCTGCATTGAATTAAAAAACTTTTATTGTCTCAGAATCAGGAAGTGTGAGGTTAGCATGCTAGCTGTTGTTAGTATTTACGTGACAGCAAAGATCTCTGGCCTCTGAAAGTTGCGAAAAGGGCTTAACTCTTTCCCCCATGAAGACGACATTTGACGACCCCCCCGTACCCTTAATGACGTGTTTTGTCACCTCCGCTGTATCATTAAAGACGTGATCTGACGAGCATTAGAAACAGCTCCGTTTTTCACATTTAAACAGAGACTGTGATAGGTGGGGGCCACTACAACCCATATAGACTGACCAATAGGATTCAAGGATATGTTTTCACAGATTTTTTCCAAAGTTAATCGAAGTAGTGACGATGGTAGCTTCCGGAAAAAACACAACATGAAACACATGCAATGAAAAGACTGTAGCACTGCGGTGCACAGTTTTAGAAATAATGAGGAGCGGACGTATTTTATGGATAAGTTTAGAGAAAATGACTTTTACAGATTTGAAAGTGATGATGAGGGTGATTATAAAGTGGAAAACAGCGATAGCGACGGACTTTCAGAGAGTCAATCTTATGAAGATGCGCGCGTCTGTATGGAGTCCTGCGATATCTGAACAAACTATCCGGGCTTTATACTCGATTATGAACCAAAATTGCCCTGAAATCTGGATGTTTCCCAGGCGAGTCCTTTAAAATATTTCAGTCTTTTTTTCCAAGATGCGATGCTCTGCGCACGAGAAAGTAACCAAGGTGACAAATACTGGACACCCACTGACGGGGAAGAGTTTTATTATTATATTATTTTATTATATTAAACTAAATTAGTTGAATAAGCTAAATGAGTTGAATAAATTAAATAAGTTGAATAAGCTAAATGAGTTGAATAAGTTATATAGAAAAAATGAATTAGGTGCACACAGGTGTACAACAGGTAAAAACAGGTGCACACTTGGCTATACTGTATCTGGTGATATGAAATCTGTTTAAATACTTTGACAAAGTATATTTAAATTTTTTTTATGAATATAGTACTCACAACATGCTTATATCAGATGCTGAATGTAATTTTTTGTTTTTGTTTGCACCTGACCAGGTAAACTCTCATTTTCAGTGAGCTGTTATACACCTATAAATGAGTTGAATCACATTTAAACATCCATAAATGAATAGTTCATAGTCTAGGGTTTCCAGAGATACCAAATATGTCTGTTACAGTTAAGTTCATGAGTGTAAAAATCATTTATAATCACTCATGGAAGTCTGTTTTCTTTTATGTAGTTATGCTCTAAGGGCAGCCCTAGTCATATATGTATGGGTTGTTCCTAGTCGGCGTCCAGGGGGGAAAGAGTTAAGAACTAATCACTGTGAATAATTAGGGGTGTCGAAACCAACTTTGGACCAACGCAAACTGTTTAAAATGAAGTAGTTCTGTTTTTCAAGGTGCCGTGGCTTTAAATTAAGCCAAACTCGAATGTAATTAAGGGCAGAGAAGTGCGACACATATTGATGATGTTATCAGCATTCCTGGGGGGTGTGATGCTAACTGAAGACGCCGCTCAGAAATGATTTAGTAGCTCAACAGGTGAGCTTATTTGTGCTCATAAAAAAGTCTCTCACTTTAAATTACAGGCACGTGCTAGCTAGTGTTACTCAACAGTTTTTCAATTAGTCCCTCTCGCATTTATGTTGGAAATCAAACTCTTCAACGGGACCGTGATCGCCCATTTGATCACAGGCTTCTGAAAATGTGCTCTTTAAATTCATTGTATTTGTTTGACAACTGAAGAAAAAAATGATCTAAATCTTTTTTGACAGTGTTTGCTTATGTGCGCATTGTGTCTCCATGGTAACTGCTGAACATTCCACCGTACAGATACATGTAGAACGCTTCCAACGTGATGTCACTGCGAAGTATCAAAAAAGTACTCTTACCCTGCTCAGATCCAGCAGACAGTTGAGGCGGTCGGACTTCATAACCTTCTAAAACCAAACTTAACTACACTGTAATTACAGATTATTACAGTGAAGAATACATTTATAATGTACTGGCATTGGATAATGGCTGTGACCCTGCTCAGAGCCAGCAGACTGTTGAGGAGGTTGGAGGAGGTTATAACCCTCTTAAACTAATAAAAATAATAATACAATACGTCAGACTTATATAGTGCTTTTTGGACACTCACCTATCTAAAAGGAACCTAACTACATTGTAATTACAGTTTGTTACTATTGCCCAACCAATATATCTGCTGGCCAATATTATCGACCAATATGAGCACTTGGAGACATATCAGAAATCAGCCAAAATCTTGCTGGTATGGGCCAATAGCCCATGTGACCATGTTATACCTTAGACCAGGGGTGCTCACACTTTTTCAGCATGTGAGCTACTTACAAAATGACCAAGTCATAAAGATCTACCTAATACAAAGCCAAGCAAACTGCACTGAAACACTCTGGGCCCCTTTTTTTGGACCCTCACCCACAGTTTGAGAACCCCTTCTTTAAGAGAACTTCCTCTGGCACTTTACACAAAACTGTGAAAAAAGTGAAGGAAGATTTTTAAACCTGTTTTTTAAAGTTCCAAACTGGAGGAGTTGCATTCTTTTCTGGTTTTGCAGTAGTGATATTTACCAGCCTCTGCACATTTACCAAACCAAATGCACATCGTGACAAACACAGATGCATTTGTGCACTTTTGTTAGACAAACTTCAGCCAAATGTGGCAGTAGGTCTGTTCTGTAGATCCGCTCTATGCTGTAGACCTGCTTTGTGCCAACACTGGAACACAAATTTAGACTGGTTTTTGCTTCACGTTTGGTCTTGCTCTTCTCATCAGCCGCACTGTGGGAGGGGCTTGTGTTCGCTGTACGCAGGAAGGAGCGAGAGCGTGAAAAGGCGAGGGGCGGCGTGCTGACGTGAGGCAGATGGACAGGTAGGATGTTTAGGAAGTTGAACCTGCCCTGTGATGCACGCTGGTACACGAGGGCACACGCTGTTGCAGACGAGCCGTGCATAGGGAGCGTGTGTGTTTGTGATGCGCCGTAGAGTCTCTGCGGGCTACACTGAGCGCACAGGCTGCACTGAGACGCCCCACACGCTCCTGCACCCGCTACAAGTTTATTACCAACAGCAGTGGCCGTAATGAAATATGATCACACTTGTTGAGTGTCAGACCTTGAGTGAGACACAAGACCGAGTCCAAACGCGAGTCCAAGACGAGACACGGCGATCTACCCACACGACCTTGACGATCAACTGGTAGATGGTTCGACGTATTGAGCACCCCTGCCTTAGACGCTCTAAGACAGATAATTTGGATCAAATTATCTGTCTGGAATTTGATCCAATTTACAGACAGATAAATGTCCTAATATGTGGCACCGCATCAGTATTTATCAGAGGAGTAATTTGTCTATTTCTGTGACACCGTACTGCACCTGAACGCACCCCCAGAATGACGTCACGTGACTCACATGTTCCTATTTACACCAGTGCGCAACACGGAGGTGCTGCTTTAAACACTCTTGTATCTGATCCACGGTACTGACTATAAATAAAAAAGTTTACAACAACACTACTGCATGCTTTTATCAAAGTGGGAGTGCTGTCAACATGTTGGATTATATTATTTTTACGGATGATAGTTTTGAGTCAGGATTGAAAGGACATTTATTTGTAAAGACTTGTGATCTGAGAGGAGCCTGTGTGAGCGGTGACTGTTGCAAATGTGTCGGTTTTGAAGCCACTTTTGGTTCTTTTTCATTGTTTAGCTGCTGTAGCTCCCATTCATAAACAGTCTGTTTTCTCTGACATTGGCCTAGTATAAAGTGACAAAAGTAGTAGTGATAATAAATGAGCTGTGAATGATCGGCATTTACGCATATAGAATAGAATAGAATCAAATAGAATAGAAAGCCTTTATTGCCATTAAAGAGTGTAATGAAATTCAGAGCTTCTCCGTCAAAGTGCAAGAATTAATAATAAACAAAACAAATTAACGATTCTCATTCAGTACGGTGACAGATATCATTAATTACCGCAGTGTGCACTCATTTACTGCTAAAGGCTGATAGAGGTAGTTTATTTACTTTCTTTACTGGCTAGAATGTCTTGCAAAAATGCCATTAGTCCGACCTACTGTCTTTAAATATGACAGTAAAGAGGCAGAATAACAATAAATGTAGCCTAAATAAACCCAATTTAAAATCCAATAGAACCAAACCTTAGTTTTACAATCAACTGAAGATTTATAGTGAAGTTTTACATCACTAAATATATTGGTTTTTATATCTAATATTGGTAGCTCCAACTCCTTTTTTTATCTATTTCATATTGGCCGCAAAAAAATCCATACGGTCGGGCCCTATTTGTTACAGTGAAGATTAACACAATAATACACTCTTACCCTGCTCAGAGCCAGCAGACAGTCGAGGCGGTCGGACTTTCGGACAGAGTGTCGTAGTTTCCAGTACAGGAGGTGCTCCCAGGCGAACACCAGCAGACTCAGCCCCATGGCCACCAGCAGCATGTAGAAGACTCCCGCCATGTTGTCTATGTCCAGCTTCGAACTCATCACCTCCTTCTTCTCGTTACGACAGATCCCTGTGAGCCACACCGTCTGCAGCTTCTGAGTGTCCCCTGTAAAAGACAACGATTAATTATAAAGCCGCATTACGGAACTTTCCTGTTGTTGGGTCCATCTGATGATTGCCTGTTGTTCGTGTTTTTTTGTTTTATTTTTAAGTCTCGTGGTGCATTTTGAGCTCTTTGCACATATTTTGCCATTACATTTTTAACTACAAATGGCAAATAAACTAACCTAATCTGACCTCACTTGTCTCCATGGAGATGTGCCTGTTTTAGCTGGAATATTCCACATTAACTTGCAGACAAGCACAAGGCCAAGTTACAGGTCAGATCTACAGAGACTCTGATTAAACCTGTGTATCATTTGTTCACTGTTTTTTCAAAATAAAAACAAAAATAATAAAATGGAAAAAACAACTATTTTCTTCATTATTTGTCTTCAAAACCAAAGTGAAAAAAAAACGAGAATCGATTTTGTGTTTAAATGAATAATGAGAAAAAAAAAAAACTGATAACGGCCATTTCCTGTTTCCATGACTTAAACTGTGATGCCGGACTTTTGCGCCGCATACGGACTGAACCAGGACTAAACCAGTCTCAGTCCTGGTCTCAGTCCTGGTCTCAGTCCTGGTCTCAGTCCTGGTATGGTCCTGTTCTCAGTCCCAGTCTGGTCCCAGTTTCAGTCCCGGTCTGGTCCTGGTCTCGCTCTCGGTCTGGGCCCAGTATGCTCCCATTGTCAGTCCCTGTCTGATCCCGGTCTCATCCCAGTCTCAGTCCTGGTCTGGTCCTGGTCTGGTCCCAGTCTCAGTCCTGGTCTGGTCCCAGTCTCAGTCCTGGTTTGGTTCCAGTCTCAGTCCTGGCCTTGTCCTGGTCTGATCCTGGTCTCAATCTGGTCCCATTCTCAGTCCCGGTCTGAGTCCAGGTCTCAGTCCCAGTCTGGTCCTGGTCTCAGTCGTGGTCTGGTCCCGGTCTCAGTCCTGATCACCCGACAGTCTATGCGGGCACGCCTCCGGTCACGACACTTGTTCAGTCCTGGTTTAGACCTGGTTTAGACCTGGTTCAGTCTTGGTTTTAGTCCTGGTAAAAGTCTGGCATCGCAGTTTAAGTCACAGAAAAAGGAAACAGGCGTTATCCATTTTTTCCATTATTTACTTAAACACAAAACTGAAAAAACAAATCATTATCCATTTTTTCATTTTGGTTTTGGAGACAAATAGTGAAGAAAATAATTGTTTTTTCGCTTTCTTATTTTTGATTTTTTTTGGAAAACAAATGAACCAATGATACACAAATTTGACTGCAGTATACATTTTAGTTTCTAATGCATTTTTGAGCAGTAAAAACACTCATAATTGAATTTATGCAAGATAGATAAAGTTAAAGCCATATTGTGAAACATTACAAGCAAGTACTAACATCTCCATGGAAACCCTCTACTGGAAAAGTGACATTATGTCGCGTTCTCAAACAGCAACATAAAGAGAACAACAACAAATTTAATACCAACAAACCACATGCTCGTCTGCAGAGGGTATCATTTGTTTGAAATGTTCCAAAGTATGGCATTAAACGTATCTATGTCTACAGAGAAAAGTCAAAATACACGTCAGATCTGTGGAGAAGTGAGTCTTAAGGTATTATTTTCACAGTATTTTTAGTATTACTTTTATTTTAGTTGGTCTCTCTGGTCTCTATTAAAATAAACGAATGAAACTAACAATAAAAACAACTGCAATTCAATAAATACAAGATAAATAAGTTACAATTATGCTACAAAAAATGTGGTGATTTCCTCCAAAATATAGTAAGCCAATACTTATAGCGTTCTGTCTACTGAAAGTGTCATTTTGCGACCTCCATAAGCCAGTCTAAAAAATACCTGGCACACGTGACCTTGTGTTTTGGATGATCTGATTTTCTTTCTGCTGTAAACACAAACTAATAATCAAATCTAATTATTGGCTTATCTGATTACTCCATTATCTGATTTCTCTGGCAGTGTAAACGTACACACGGTGACAGAGGTGAGGGGAGGACAGCGCTACGGGGGATTCCTGGCGTCCTGGCAGGGATTTCGCAAGGTCAGATTTTAGAGCTGCAGTTATTGTGAAATGAAACAATAACAACAATGGCCAGAAACTGTGAAATCCTTAATTTATTTTCATTCCCAGAGCCTAATACATTCCTCTAGTATGTGACCAGCTTTATGAAACATCAAATATTCTGTATGATTAAAGGTTGTATAGAGGATTTTTTTAAGGGAAGAGAAATACAGCGACAGTTCTTTTACAAATGTTGTGCCTGCGTGACACCACCTTCATCCTCCACAGCCTCAGTAGAAACATCTCCTCCCGCCTCTTTACTCTAGAAATCACGTTTTTTTTTACAAGCCAGTGCCCGTTCAGAATTACTGTTGAAATGACCTGTCTAGAAATAATTTATCGACCGACGCGTCAGTTTTTAGACCCTTCGTCCGCTTCATTCGCGCAATCACTGGAAGGAATCTCTGAGAATCACCTCGGTTTGTCTTCGCTCCTTTTCCCCTTCTCTTCGTCTTTCAGCGACCTCAAAAACCGACTTTCTTTTGCGGCGAACTGGTCGTGGATTCTCGTCCGCCGTCGCGACAAACTTTGTGAGAAATGTGAGGAAGCTACAGTTTGAAAAAGCCTCTAAGAACCGCTGCATAAACCACATGATCCCTGCATCCCGACGAGTCAGTTACACTAGAAACGTAGGGAGTTTGATTGACGACCTGACAGCCAATAGAAAATGAGGCAGCCTCGTTTTCTATTGGCTGATGTTTATCTGGCCTCAACACGTCCACAGTTGATAGATTTTCATTCTTTTTTTTTTTTTTTTTGGTCATCATAATTCCAAGGCTGCTGCATCTCTGTAATTGTATTTTAAACTTTCATTGACAATTTGAAACCAAAAAAAAAAAAATCCTCCATACAACCTTTAAGTCAAGTTAAAGGAAAGAGGTGAGATTTTTTCAATGTAAAGTCACTTGGAGCCAAAATCGATGGAACCCAAAGTACACCCATGTTCACTTCTTGTTTGGAATGCCACATCTTAGCAATGTCTATTTATATAGTCTATGGTATTACGTAGATATATTGTATAAGCAGCTGTGTACTGTCTATATAAAAAATATACAGCATTTTATTCTCAGTGAAACAGGAAGTGCACTGTTAACATGGTAGTTGTTGTCAGTTTTAATGTTCTGGCCTCTGAAAGTTGTCAAAAGGCACTTATAATCTCATCATGGTGAATAATTAGGAGAATCAGAATGCATAAGGTAAATGAGGAAGAACTGCAACCGCTGCAATTTACTCAGGCTGAGTTTTTCTCTCAAACAGAAAAAGCTCTGATCCACCTTGTGATGTCATGTCGTAATACAGGAAGTGCTCATTTTTTTTAAACGCCATACACCTTCACTAGAATAATTTTGATGATTTCAGCCCTGGAATTGACTATCTGTACTGAGCTAAAGCTAAAAGGTAGCTGTTGAAACTACAGTTTGATGACATCACAAGGTGGAACAGAGCATTCTGAGCTTTGGAGATGTAGTAGACTAATAAAGAGTTACTCAAAAATGTGTAAATGAAACAAAACACAACTCCAAGTATTTTTTTGAGTAGGTAACAACATTGTAACCTTGTTTAAAGCTCTCAAAGATCCATTTTACATGTTATGTTTACTGTTTTTAACTGTCTTATGTTTTATATTGCTTGATAAATTACACCATCTAGTGATCTTCATTTACTCCTTTAGTAATAATAGTAGAAGAAGAACGTTAAAAGGAAGTTGTTGTTCTGTCCTCACTTCAGCAAAATGGCTGCTCCTCGGTTCTGGTGTTTCTTTTTTGTGTTTGTTTAAGCATCATCTGTAAGTATTACATAGTAAAACATGATTATACACCTGTAATATTGTCTTTTGTGTTTGAAATGTACTAGTTAGCACGTTTTTGGTGTGCCATTGTCATGCAAATTAGTCTGCTATTCATATACTACTTAGATTCATTGACTGTAACTTTACGTTTGTAAAATTATCTGGCACTGATATTAATAACCATTTCTGTATGTGTTATTGTTGCAGTTTCACAAAAAAGTTGGAACCAGTAAATTTCACCAAAGTCAGCCGCTGTCTGTGAAGTTTCTTCTGGGTCCATGTTTAACTGTTTGGATAGCTACAGCATCTAGTGAGGCCACTTAACGTATTTTCTGGGCCATTAGAAGCGCTCTTAAGTCTCTAACCTCAACAAAAACGACCGCGCGCCCCACAGTCCAGAGCGCCCCATACACGAATCCACTCGGGTGTCCCAGCACAACTTCAGTGAACTATAAAGCAGCACCACCCGCAGCACACGCAAACACACACGGAGCAGACAGCGACCGCACAGCGAAAAACACCCACAGACGGAACGGAGGAACGAACCGAAAAAACGAGTCCAATGAGTCAATCTGAGTCACAACTGAACAAGTGAGTCATTGCGACCGACCCAGTGGTCCCAGACAGCACCCTCCCTACACGCCACAACTGAACAAAGCCCAGAGTCACCGTGAACGCACCAAACAAAGTCCGAGTGACCCATCCAACTGTTGTGTTTTGTTTAAAGTCCAGTGTGGTTTATTTGTGAAAAAAGTATGAAAATAGACCATTTAAAGACAGTGCGTCTTATAACCCAGAGCGCCTAATAGCCTGTAAAATACAGTACATTATATATTATAGGACCTTTAAGAAAAAGCACTTTTGGGGGTGTACATTTATATTGATTTTTTTTTTTTTTTCCATCTAAAACAGACCTGGGAATTGTCCAGGTCCTGGGCCACATACGGCTCTTTGGTTGACTCTGACCCGCCCGTTTAAGCTCATTTGGAATTACAAAATAAACACATTTTATCATTGTACCTCATTCATGGACTAAAGCTGCATTGCTTTTATTATGATATTTACTGCTTTTTATAAAGAAATTGACTTAATATTATGGAGAATTGAGTTAAGCATTTTGGCCCGGCCCTCCACAATATTTTCTGTTTCTCACGTGGCCCCATGGAAAAAATAATTGCCCTTCCCTGCTCTAAAATATACTCTCCATTTGTATTTCAGTTCATATTGTGACCTATTATTGATCGACTAAATAATCTTGGCTTTGGTGTTGTGGGGTAGTTTCTGAAATCTGGAGCTCCAAATGTGCAGAGCAGCTGTGCAGTTAAACTTCTGATGAGGGGCCCGTCCTCAGAGACACTTTGGTTTTATGGAGTCTGTCGTCAAAATGTGCCCACCACAGCAACAAAAACACAACTCCTAAAACCTAATATATACGTGTGTGAGCGCGTGTGTGTGACTTATGCAGGCTCAGTGTTTACAGTCCCCGGGTCACTTTGAAAATAATACTATCTTATAATAATAATGCATGAGACTTAGAATACAGCAAGGCTCCCAAAATGGAAAACAATAGATTTCTCCAAACACGATAAGAGCAGACGAGAGGGACGTGTCACAACAATGTAAACTGCTGGTAAAGGGAATTGAACTACTAACCTTCACGTAAATGGGTTTTTAAACTGCTCTGCTGGCACTTTGTATTCACTGAGCATTAGAGGTCAAATACGTCTGCAAAAAGCTCATCCAGGAAGTTTCAGATAAGATTTCAACATTCAGTAGACATGGAATATTTAATACAGATCAGGTAGGTCAAAGTATTATTTTTAAAGTAAGGAACATTCCAGCTGATGAGCATCGACTTGCAAAGAAGAACTCCTCTCCACAGATTTGAGCCCCCAAGAACTCCCTTTATTACAACAAAGATCAGGATTTTAGCTGTGCCCCGTCTGTATGAAATAATATTGGCCTATAGAATTCTGTGATGTCATCTGAAACCCACGATGGGCTCTATTCATGGTTACATCACAAAACCGGAAGACATTTGGGAACATGCGGATGACAACTTCTTTTGGGCTCTATTGGCGATAGTAACTCTGTAAATAGTAAATCTGACAAAACTGAAAAAATTGGCCCAGTTTTCATCATCTAAATGTCATTGTATTCTTTCTTTATTTGGTAACACTTTATAATAACTACACCTTATTTTGCCTTAATAAAGCATGAACAAAGACTTAATAATGAATAAAAACTTAATTAATAATGATTCATGCTTAGTAAATGTTTAATAAAGGATCATTTGTCTTCACTTTAGAAAAGCTCTCCAAAACACTTAACTAACAGATAACAGCTGCCTGAATTATCATTGCATTACATTATTAGTAAATCATTCTTTCATAGTTTACTAATGATTAATAAATGCTCAAATGGTTATTTCATGAGTAATTAAGTATGAAATAACTATTTACAGCACAGGCAAATTAAGTACTAGTGCTAATTAAGGTAGTAATTAAGTAGTTACTAAGCGTGAGTCATTATTAATTAACTCTTTGTTCATTATTAATTAAGCCTTTGTTCATGCTCATTTATGTTCAAGGTGTAGTTATTATAAAGTGTTACCCTTTCTTTTTTATTAATTTGTGTATTCTAATCTGTCCAATTTCATTAAAAAATAAATAACTAATAGGGATGTCCTGATCACATTTTTTTGCCACCAAGTCCTTTGATTTTGAGTGTTTGCCGATACTGAGTCCCGATCCGATACTTCTATAAAGCATTATAAAATGAATTAAGAGCATAGAATAAGATCCAGGATGTGTGGGGGGATCAGAATGTATGTGTAGTATTTGGGCTGAACTTAGTGTGAAAACTCAAATGTCCAAAACTTTAATGTTATTAACTTTTCTAACCATGTACCATCATTGTTGAAAATCTTGACTTTTCACTGTCTGGTCTTGGAATGTGTAACTTAGTAAACTTAATGAAGTGGACAAAACAGGAACCAGACCAGAATCAGATCAGACGTGAAACTAGACTCTGCACAATCTACAGTTTGTATATTTGATATTATATGTTTGCATGTGCACTACATTTGAAACATTTAGGCTTGTCTATGAAATCCAAATAATACAAAATCCTACCAAATCAAAACGAGATGACAGAAGCTCCACAGCCTCTCTCCCCCGGCCGCCCCCCACTCCCCCGCACCGACACCACATCCACAAACCCACCGTGGAGCGCGAACCACAACATCACTCCCACCACTCAATAGATGCTCCATGCCGCTTTTCCCACCTTCTCTGCCAGAAGTGCCGGCTCCTTTGCGCAACATGCAAACAAACAGTGACGTGCGACAACGCCATCGGCCGCGCAGCTGTGAACATGGACCACAGAACCACAGGTAACAGTGCCGGAGCATGGCACGGCCCAAAAGTCAGACAGTCACGCTGACAGGACATCCCTGAGAAAATCCTGCGCCTCAATTAAAAAAAAAAAAAGTTGTGTGCTGTGTGTCCTGTGTGCCCTGTGTGTTATATATGTATATTATTTATCTGATACCTGATCGGAACATAATGTCCAAGTCCGAATCAAGTCCGCAGTCACGTGATTGGAAATCAGCACTGACCACGTAACTGCAGATTGGGACAACCTTAATAAATAAAGTTGTCATTGTAGCGTTTCATTCTGTTTGGCAGATCGACAGTTACAACCAGCTGCCTGTAAGTGAAATCGAAGACGCGATTAGAGTCCCATCCCCCGTAGAAAGCTTTGACAGGTTATGAAGACGCTGTTGCTAAATCCATAATTTTATCACATGCTCAGTGTCTGGAACTACACCGGAAGTCGTCACCCGCCTGTTTCCAGCGTCTTCTGGTAAGTGTGAATAGAGCTTATTTGTAATAGAACTTCAAAAGCCGGATCGGGGCATCCATAGCTTTAACATGCTGATCTGGTTCTGGTTGGATACACTTGGCCACACATCTTTTTTTTTTTTTTTTTTTACTTCTTTTGGACGTTTATTTAATATTTCTTGTAATTACTTGGGACCTCTACTGCGCAATCTACTTTAATGTCCTTTACCATCTGCGAGGAACTGCAGCAGGGCCAGGTCTATGGGTCTCTTCCAGCGCGAGTCCTTCTGGAGCGCGATCCCGTACCCCGTTGTGGCGAAGACTTTCCCGCTGCCGATGGTCACCAGTTTACAGCCCTCGTCTTTGCCTGCCATGTAGTTCAACACCGCCGCGTCGTAGATGAAGGCGTCCAACTTCCTGTCACGGAAACAACAATACACGCATACATCGTCAAAAGGTTTACTATGACATGTTAAAGGGGCATTGTGTAACTTTTTGGGTGGAGGCTGTGTCAAATAGTTATCTCTGTTGATACGTCATTGTTCTGCTTTGAATGTTCCACAGTATGACATTAAACAGCTCTACCTTACTTATTCAATCCAATCCAACTTTATTTATACAGCATATTTAACCAGTGACTCAAATTGATTTTTGATTTGATTTTTTTTTATTATTAGTTAGTATTAGTAGTAGTATTAGTAGTATTATGTATGTATACTACTACCACTACTACTACTACTACTACTACTACTACTACTGCTACTGCTGCTGCTGCTAGAACTACTACTACTGCTAGAACTACTACTGCTACTAGAACTACTACTACTACTACTAGAACTACTACTACTACTACTACTACTACTACTACTGCTACTGCTGCTGCTGCTAGAACTACTACTACTGCTAGAACTACTACTGCTACTAGAACTACTACTACTACTACTAGAACTACTACTACTACTACTACTACTACTGCTACTGCTGCTGCTGCTAGAACTACTACTACTGCTAGAACTACTACTGCTACTAGAACTACTACTACTAGAACTACAACTACTACTGCTACTACTATTACTACTACAACAACTACTACTACTACTAGAACTACTACTACTATTAGAACTACTACTATATTACAACTACTACAACAACTATAACTACTACTACTACTACTAGAACTACTACTACTACTACTAGAACTACAACTTCTACTGCTACTACTATTACTACTACAACAACTACTACTACTACTAGAACTACTACTACTATTAGAACTACTACTATATTACAACTACTACAACAACTATAACTACTACTACTACATACTAGAACAACTACTACTACTACAACTACTACTACTACTACTACTACTACTACTATTACTACTATTACTACTACTACTACTACTATTACTACTATTACTGCTACTACTACTACTATTACTACTACTGGAACTACTACTACTACTACCACTATAGCTGCTACTATTACATACTAGAACAACTACTACTACAACAACTACTACTACTATTACTACTGCTACTACTACTATTACTACTACTGGAACTACTACTTATACTACTACTACTACTGGAACTACTACTAATACTACTAGTACTAATAATATTAATAGAATACTAACTGCTGTTGATTTGTGAGGGGAAACCACCTTTGTATCTTGGTTAAAAATTGAAGTGCTTGTGTGATTTCATGTCAGTGTAATGTGAGTAAACCGTGCTTGCCCTGTCTTGAGGCTGTTGAGCGCGTCCTCCACCCCCTTCTGGTTGTACTTGACCATGTGCGCGTGCATCTCGGGGTAGTTACTCCTGATGTTCCTCTCGGTGCTGCCGTTGGGGACCGTCCCAAAGCGAAAAGGGGGGTACTGCTCCTGAGGCTTCTGGAACTGAGAGAGAAACAAGAGGAGTTAGAAAATAAAAAGTCTGAATAAACTGTTTATCAATGTTAAAGACTCTGTACTAGATTTGAATTTAAGCTGTTTCTGTTTCTCATTTATGTGCACATTTTACAACTTTTACGTACTGCTGAGTAAATTTTACCACCACAATAATACTAAAAATCCCAGGGCATTCTTTAGTTTAAAAGAACAGTTGCTTGTTGCTATATAACATTTGCATAGAATAATATTTGTCCTTTTGAGACACTGTTTATGCATTCTGTTACTTTTCTGGTGGAGGGTCAGGCACCTGCTTGTCTCCATGTAACTGCTTTGGCAATTTTCCGAAATATGGCACTGGACTGAACTTATCTATTTCCACAGAGACAAGCAGAAGATGTGACATGCTCACACTGAGAATGCATGTTTTTCAAGCTGTTCTTAAGCATTAAAACTAGGGCCTGACCGATATATTGGTTAGCCGATATTATTGGACGATATGAGCACTTGGACACACATCAGCCTAAATCTTGTCCACGTGGGCATGTTACACCTAATTATAAAGCTTAGACTCTCTATATTACCTTTCATTTAATCAATTTTACAGAGAGATAAATGTCCTAATATGTGGCGCTGAATCAATATGTATCTGCGGAGTCATTTGTCTGTATGCGTGACACCGGACTGTCCCTGAACGCACTCCCAGAGTTACGTCATCACGTGAGCTTGTTGACAAGATCCATGTGCGCAACAAAAGAGGCACTGGCGTTAAATTCTGTTGTGTCTGATCCACGATGCTGACTATAAATAAAAGTGAACTTCAGCAAACTTTAGGCCAGAAACAAAACTACAGCTTTTTTTTTATTTTTTTTATCAAACTTATTAGTGAAGACTTCTGATCTGAGAGGAGCCTGTGTGAGCAGTGAGTGTTGCAAATGTATCAATTTTGAAGTTACTTTTGGTTCTTTTCGTTGTTTAGCAATCTGTTTTCTGTGACATTGGCCTAGTGTAAAGTGACTATTGTGTCTGTATATATGTTTTTGGGCATGCACTGAAATGTAAATGAGCTGTGAATAGAGGTGTGAATGATTGGCATTTACGCATATCATTAATTACTACTGAGCGCATACATTTACTGCAAAGGCTGATAGCGGTAGTTTACTTACTTTCTTTACTGGCTAGAATGTCATGCAAATATGCCAGACTGTGGAACATTTCAGGGTTAGGGGAAAGCAATAACTTCTCTATGGAGACAAGCACAAGCAGGTGGCAGCCTGGCAGTCTCCCACCAGAAAAGTTAAACAATGCAATTGACTCTTGTGAGCTTTAAGCCACATTAGAATGCTGTTACCTCCTCAAAAACATACCCAGAGTTGTATTTTGTTTCATTCACACATATTTGTGTAATCCTGGTTTATTAGTCTGCAGCTCCAAAGCTCAAAATACTCAGTTCCACCTTGTGCTGTCATGAAGCACTAGTTTTCAAGTTAACAGCTCCTTTTACCTTTTGTTCAGTAGAGATCCAGAGCAATTTCAGTTTTACTAGAATCATCCAGATGATTTTAGTGAAAGTGTTAGAGTTTAAAAACACAGTGCAGGACTTCTTGTATTACGACATCACAAGTTAGAACAGAGTGTTTTCTGTTTGAAAGAAGACACCTAAATATGCAAGTTTAAAACATGTATGCATGAGGAAACGGCATAACATATAGATCAGAAAGTTGCATAACACAGCTTCTTTTCCTGATTGAGAACATTCTAATTGTGATTTAGATTTGATTTGTCTTCAAGATCTTAGAGTTCTTTGAGTCTGAAATCTGTCTGTACTTCAAAGTGTGGACTGACTCATGCTCCTTACAACATATCTGCGCTGCGGTGTGCGTTTCAAAGACATTACAAGAATAATGGTAATAAAGTCATTTTCTCACAGTCTCCCCCTGGGCGCCAGGAGATGAATAACTCATTTTGGCTCCTGGCAGAGGCCCATGCATTTAATTAGAGAAGGAGAGAGAAGAGAGGGAGAGGGGGAGAGGTAGAGAGGTGGAGGGGGAGTGCACTCGTCAAATGGAACTTTTTCATTAACCTTAGGCAAATAGAACGACTCTGAGCTAGAGAAGACCAAACTTGACCTCAACTTTGTATTTGAAGAAAGATAGTGTTACTCACGAAAAGATTTGATATTAGCATAGCAATTGAGTAACAAGTGCTACTATTGATTCAAATAAATTATAGTATGAGCTACGGCTGAACGAGTTAAAGAAAAAAAATGAGTTGTGATTTTTCTGGCAGATATCGTGATTTAATTTGTTTTTTTTTCCAAATCAAGTCTCAGTGTGCAGGAACATTGCAAACATCACAGAAACTTATCATACCAGAGTCATGCACTGAGTCGGGTACCTGCGGGTGCCCGGCCTGACTACTACTGTCAAAAATCCCTTATCACTTCACAGGCATTATTTATTGAGCAGAAGAAACACTGATGGAGATGCCAGACTTTTGTGCCACATATGGACTGAACCTGGGCTGAACCGGGACAAAACCAGGACTAAAACAGAACTAAAACAAGACTAAACCAGGACTAAACCAGGAGTGATCCCAGGACTGAAGGAGGAGGACTAAATCAGGACTGAACCAGGACTAAAACAGGACTAAAACAAGACCAGACCAGGACTAAGCCAGAACTGAACAGGACTAAACCAGGAGTGATCCCAGGACTGAACCAGGACTAAAACAGGACTAGAACAAGATTAAACCAGGACTAAACCAGGAATGAACAGGATTAAACCAGGTCTAAACAAGGTCTAAACCAGGACTAAACCAGGACTAAACCAGAACTCAACCAGGACTGAACCAGGACTGAACCAGGACTGAACAAGGACTAAACCAGGAATGATCCCAGGACTGAACCAGGAGGACTAAAAGAGGACTCAACCAGGACTAAACCAGGAATGATCCCAGGACTGAACCAGGACTACACCAGGTCTAAACCAGGTCTTTGATTAATCATTAACATTTTTATATCAAAATGATCATCATCATTGTTACTATTACTAATCTGCATAAATAAAGTCAACTTTACAACATCTAAACCATAACCACTACAGACCCACATTAGCCCGTTTGAGATTATGTGTTTAATGCAGCTTTGTGCACATTTATTTGTTTTACAGAAACAAAACTTAAAAACGCTTAAAATTTAAAACTACTTTGCATAAACTTGCGCTAAAAAAACTGCTTGCTTCTTTTGCTGCTGATGTCGGACTAAAGGACACAACTCAGTGGAATATTTTTGCTCTTTCTGTGACAGACGGATGTTGATGATACGTACATGTGTGAAATTGTTTATGAAGCAAAACCTGGGTCAGTTAGGAGCACTGCAAAAAACGAGATTTTATGCTTTCAAAATCGTGTTGTCTGAGATTGCAATTTTCGGTCCAAAACAATAGATGGTTCAGCCCTAGAACGAGCATATATTGGGTGATAAGGTTAGTTTAGAGTACACCCACAATCTGGCAACCCAAAGCAAAGACCTCATTCTGCTTTCTTGTTAGGTAAATGACTTCAGAAAAACATTTACCATTCATTTGTTAGGAAGATTTATTCATATTTATTCATATCACTAGATTTCACTGAATGGCGTATGGAGTATTGAACCATGCAGAGTCTGGTTAGTGGGCAATCGTGTCTACCAATTGTCCAACTGGTTCTTATTTTCAGTTTCAGTCCCAGTTTTGCTGTGGTGTTGCAAGTGAGAATGTATTGATCCATAAAGGAAATTAACGAGTAATTTCTTTTATGGATCAATAAATTTAGCACCTCAAAATTGCATCTTGGTCTTAAAATGTTACTCAGCAGAAGAAAACTGGACGATTACGTGAAGTCACTGCAAAGAAACTTCTGGGATATGGGGATATGTAGTTTCCATTGTCCATAAGCTGTTGCTACTATAAAGTCATGCATTTAAGCAAAGGAACTTGTAATTCAATATATTGTGACAGTCCACGATATTATTGAGAGACTTTTGACGATACGATATCATGATATTTCAGTTATTCTTACATCCCTAATTGACTTTATTTGGCCTCACCCACTTTTGCACTTTTGTTGTGGTGGCACTTCCGATTACACTGGAATTCATTTAAACTGGGAATTTGAGAAAATATTTGCTGCTAAAATATGATATAAAGCAGGTTGAGTTGTGTAAAATGGTAAATGTTCGTTTGACAATCAAGTGAACACGCCATTGTTTCTCTGGGAGGATTTAAAACTGGTTTGTAGTCTGTATAGAAGTGATTTGTTACAATGGGCTAGAGATGGGGACTTGCAAGTTGTGACTTGGACTCAAATCAGACTTGAGTCACTACTTTTAGGACTTGAGACTTGACTTGATAAAATGGACTAAGGTTTGGGACTCAACTTGGACTTGAGACCTTAGAAAATACTTTTTTCTTTACAGTTGATTCATGCGGTGTTTAATTTTACAGGACCACACTGGAACACGTCCCTCTCACTTCTCTGTTTGTTACTTTGGATGTAACTGAAGTACTGTGATGTGGTATCATCAAATGTAGTACAGTAATATACAGTACAATACAGTAAAACAGACGTAACTACATAGAACATGATCCTTCCATTTCAGCGCAAACTTCACAACAAAATAAATGTTATTTATCACTTTTATATCTGAATTGTTTCTGTTCTGACCGCCATGATTCACTCTAACATCTTGTCAAGACATTTAAAAAGGAAAAATAAGCATTTCTACAACTCTTATATAAATAGTCATATATAAATATACCAGGACATTTTAAGTACATTTTAGTTAAAAAACTGTACTTATATTTGGTACTTTGGTTTAAAGACTTGAAATGACTTGAAGCTCACTTGGACCTGACTTGGACTTATGGGCCAGTGACTCGGGACTTGACTTGGACTTGCCTGTCTCTGACTTGGGACTCAACTTGGACTTGAGGTCAAAGACTTGAGACTTATTTGAGACTTGCAAAACAATGACTTGGTCCCACCTCTGCAATCAGCAGTCCCATACAAAATAATTCAACCTGAATGGCGACGGCGGCGCCCATGGCCACTTCTAGAAAAAGGTAAATTTGTCTTTTTTTTCTGTATCCTACGAGATGAGGTAAAGAGCTTTGGACCTTTGAGATGCTATAGGGTTTTTACACCATATTTGACAGAAGACCTTCCAGAAGAAATACTCCAACACTTAGAGGCAATGAACCATTTTATCACCAACCAAAACACCAGAGCAGAGTAAGAACGAGGCCTTTCCGTTCCTGTGTTCACCTGGTGCCCCCTTGAGGATGCTGTGATGGTGTAGGACACAGAGGAGAGAGAATATTCCTCTCCTCAAACTGCCCTGACACAGATCTGCTGACCCTCCTTGACCAGTCCACCTGTTAAACTGCACTGAGACCTTTGACTGAGACACAAAGGCCACCGAAAAGTCCAGTGTAAATGTTTCTGCAGCTAAACCTGAATTTCCCTCGGGATCAATAAAGTATCTCACTCTCTCCAGCTCCTCTTCGTCTCCTCTCTGTTATAGCCGCGGTATGTTCCTTGTTATATTATTTTTCTTGTGAATGACTTGTTAAACTGCAGCTGCCAGTGAGTTTGACATCTCCAGATTTTGAATATAAAGTTTAGGATGAAGAGAGTTGAGGCGTGGCCAGCTCTCCTCATTCGACTTTTTAATCCTCTGCCTCCGTCACGGCTCTGATTCTCGGTCAATACCAAACTAGTCACATCCAAAGACTTAAAAACAAGACATTATCCACCAGCGTCCGCCATCTACAGCTCCACATCAGCACTTAATCTGTCAGCATCTGATTTAGAAATATAATCCTGCTCCAGCTTCATATGAGACAAAAGCCTGTGAAGTGACGTGTTGTGACAGCTCGTATTTATTTTCTCTACCAAAGTTTTAGCCTATGTCAAAATCATAAGCATTTTTTTCTAATAAAGTTCACATATTTTTGTAACTAAAGGTGCAGTGAGTAACTTTTCCCATGAAGGGTCTGCCACCTGCTTGTCTCTATGGAGATATTACTGTTTTGCCTTGATTACTCCACAGTATGGAAACAAACTTGGTTATCACAGTGGAGACAGGTTAATGGTCAGATCTACGAAGAAGCAAGCCTGCACATGCTAAGATTCATGTTTTTAAGGTATTTTTGAGCTATAAAACACTTGTAAGTGGAGGACCTCCATCTTAGAAGTCGCTGTAAACTTCATCATCACAAAAAGTTGGCACCTCTGATTAATAGCGGCACATCACGCTAACAAGCAGCGGATCTTTTTTTAATTTGTACCAAAATAATTACACGACGCTGCCAAATCTTGAAAATAAGTGATTAAAGATTGCTCAACCATGCATAAATCACTCCAAATACAACTCCAGGTGAGTAAATGATGAAGGGAAGCAACTATCACATGTTTATCGTTGTTCGACTTTTCAGAGGGGAAAAGCCGATTTTGCAGGATTGGTCTTCTTTAAAATTCTTCATGCTGTGTTTTTGTCACACTAGTTTGATTTTTTGCATTTTTCATTATGTGTGTAGAATCCCTCAGTCATACAGGTGGAATCCATGGCAAAGGACAAATTCAATTTGTCAACTGGACAAACGTTTTTTTAGGTCAAAAGTGTTGCACAGCTCATTCAAGCTGCTTCTTCAGTTCTGGTCAGATGATGGAGGACACTTCCTTATATCTGCCTGCAGGGAGGCGCTAACTACACTGAAACTACTTTGAAACTAACACCCTACTTGTTTACAGTTTCTGTTTGTTAGCTAGGACTATTCATCTGTACTGAGTGAGGGGACATTTTAGCAGAATCATTCAGGCCCATAATGAGTGTTAAAGAGGCTATTTTTGTTAGGAAGGTTAATGTTTCATTAACAGAAATGGAGGCCTCAGACATAATCTGTCTCCCATTTACAGCTCCATCCTCAAACCTAAAACAAAGAGAACAATAGAGGTCAGGGCCAGAGGTGTGTCATTATGGGCCTGAATGATTCTGCTAATATGTTCCCTGAAACTGTAAACAAATTAGTATTTTAGTTTCAGAGTAGTTTCAGTGTAGTTAGCGCCTCCCTGCAGACAGATATAAGGAAGTGTCCTCCAGCGTCTGACCAAAACTGAAGAAGCAGCTTGGATGAGCTGCGACACATTTTTGACCTAAATAAACGTTTGTCCAGTTGACTAATTAAATTTCTCTTTTGCCATAATTTTCATGATCAAAACCAAGTGTGAATCAATCAGAAAGAAATCCAATCACTCGCATCAGATGTAAAGGGTTGCGGTCACAAATTCACTAAAATCTGATTTCTAGGCCTTTAAAATCACGGATATGCAAACTGCACAATCTGATATAAGTAATCAGAGCGACCATTATTTGCAATAAATCGAATGTTTTTGCTCTTTACATTTCATTTTAATAATCTTTTAGCTCAAAAAATCTGATAATAATCTGATTTTGGTATGCATGTAACCGCAGCCGCTGTTTACACCATATTTCAATCAGATAAATCCAGAAATCAGACAATGTGTGCGTGTAAACATATGCAAATGCAACATAATCCCACTCATTTTACATAATATTCCCTCTTACACAAACTGAAATCGAGACTTGTACCTTTTTGTCTGAGAGCCCGGACACGGTGTCGATGTACTGCTCCTGGATCATGAAGGCCGCCAGGTTGGCCGTGTACGAGGCCAGAAAGATCACAGCGAAGAAGGCCCACACCAGAACCATGATCTTAGACGTGGTCCCTTTGGGGTTCTCTATTGGGACTGAGTTATTAAAGACAATCCCCCACAACAGCCACACGGACTTCCCGATGGTGAAGGTCGGACCGCCGGGATCTGAGAGGGAGGGAAAGAAAGAGGACCGATTTGAAATGTTATTGCTTTGTCTGGAATGTTTCATAGTATGACAATGAACCTTTCTATCTTCATGGAGACCAAACCAGACCAAGTTACAGGTCAGATCAAGGTATTTTTTGAGCCTGAGTGAGGATCTGAGTGAGGGTCTGAGTGAAGATCTAAGTGAGGACCTGAGCGAGGAGCTGAGCAAGGATCTGAGTAAGGGTCTGAGTGCGGACCTGAGTGAGGACCTGAGTGAGAGTCTGAGCAAAGGTCTGAGCAAGGACCTAAGTTAGGATCTGAGTGAGGATCTGAGCAAAGATCTGAGTGAGGATCTGAGTGAGGATCTGAGTGAGGATCTGAGCAAGGACCTGAGTGAGAGTCTGAGCAAAGATCTGAGTGAGGATCTGAGTGAGGACCTAAGTCAGGATCTGAGTGAGGGTCTGAGTTAGGAACTGAGTGAAGGTCTGAGTGAGGACCTGAGTGAGGGTCTGAGAGAGGACTTGAGTGAGGACCTGAGCGAGGACCTGAGTGAGGTTCTGAGTGAGGACTTGAGTGAGGACCTGAGTAAAGATCTGAGTGAGGACTTGAGTGAGGACCTGAGTGAGCGTCAGTACCTTTGGCAGTGACCAGGCTGCGGTTGTATCCCACAGGACTGCAGTATTCAAACACAAACACCGTGATGGCCACAACTGTCAGACACATGACGAACATCATCACCCACACGGCTGGACTGTACGGCTCTGGAACAACAACACACACAACATTACTACTACTAGTAATACTACTACTGCTACTACTACTGCTACTGTTACTACTACTGATTCTACTACGACTACTACTACTACTGCTACTACTACTGCTACTGTTACTACTACTGATTCTACTACGACTACTACTACTACTACTACTACTGCTACGGCTACTGCTACTACTATTACTACTACTACTACTATCGTTACTAGTGTTAAAACCTTCTCTAAGTGTGGTATGTGTACCACTGGTGGTACTTTTAGTGGTACATTTTCTAATGATATTTCTTTCTCGTAGGCATACATCTGGTTTATATCTAGTTAATTATTAAGACCAGATTTGGGCTTGTCTAAATCCTGTTTTAAGATTTCAGTGGGACTGCTGGGTCTTGTGAATCCAAACATTTTAAAAGGCAGGAGTTGGTGTGTAAAGCTGACCATGTGCTGAATATATTTTTTTTGTTTTAATTTAAATTGTAAATTGCTATACCAGTAGTCCTCATCTTTCATCTGGTGAAGACATTTGCTCTAACACATCTATCACAGAGCAGTGACATCTCCACCTGTTAGACCAAAGTTTACCCAATCAATAAACTGTTCAATCATGTGTCTGTCTGTGTTTGAGCTGAGGCGTTTGAGCTAATATTTAGGGTGTTTAAAGACGTCCGACCGAGGAAGGCGGAGGGGGAGACGGTGCCGTTGCTACGGGCGACCATGACGCTGATGCCAGTCTCCACGAACGGGACGGAGAAGTCGATGATCTCGGAGCGCTCTTCGTTTATGGTGAGGGACCCGATGGCCATGTCCGCACGTTTGTAGAACACCTGCACAAAAGACAGAAGATTCAAACTTTATAAGTAGCTATAAAATGACAGCACAACGTCACTGAAAACTTTTACTTCAAAATGTACTGTTAGTGACAAATGTTGGAGGAGCTGTGGACTTGTGGACGACCACACTCACATATACAACGTTTCTGGATTGACGTTAAAGATGTTTTACAAAAAATATTGACAGTTGATCTCGCTTTAGACCCACATCTTTTTGCTTGAAACATTTCCTCATGATCTCTCTCTCATGAATGATCAGTGTTTTTTGCTGCATCTTCTCCTGAAAACTGCGAGGAACCAATCATGACCTACTGTCTGAAGCCTGAAACATCTACCACTAATCAGGGGATATCAAAAATCCGAAGTACGTAGCACAACTACAGCTACAAATGCCAATCTCTGAAAAAGATCCAATTATTACTCAGATAGCCTTAGATATGCATTTGATTTATTTTATTATTAAATGTAAAAAAAATATATATTTGTATAGTTTTTTAACATTCAAAATGCTTTCTGTGCATTTACTGTCGTCTCTTTTAAACAAAAGGCGCAGACGTTCGGAAATAATCATAACAGCCTCATGAGAACTTAACAGAACGCTGTATTTGCGTGAAAGTGATACTAAAATTCCATGACTTTTCCAAAACTTTCATTGAATTTACAAAGTTCCATGACTTTTCCATGACCGTGGGAACCCTGATAATCTGGTTTGTCTCCTCAAAACATTTTATTGCCACAAATAAACAGCGAATTCACATCAACAGTGTCTTGAGACCGGGCTTTCACACAGTTTTACATAATAATCACAAACCATAATGTGAGTGGAAAGAGTTAACATTTCATATTTAGCCCTAAAAGTCTGATCAATTCTACACATGTAGGTGACATAAAGTCAAGGAAAATTCACTTTAGGTCATGAAAAATTCATGGAAAAGGAGGATGGACAGAAGCCTCCATACGTATCCGTCTGTGTAAATGAGCCTCTATTTTTACTTCAAAATAGCTTATAAAATAAGTCTGTAGTGAGGCAAGACAAATTCACTCAAAAACATGAACAAAATTGGGTAGAGGCTCTTTAATATACGACCAAAATTATGATTTAATTTGATACTCCAGCAGCCCTAAGGAGCCTGCTACATTTGCCAAAGTGAGTGTGATAAATGGCTGCACTACCACTGCTCTGACAACTTAAATCTTCAAACTCTTCTCTTTTTTATGTAAATGCTACTTACTTTTATGTTGTGATGATTGTCACTACTTCTACTCAGAGGTGGTAGAGTAGCCAGAAATTGTACTCAAGTAGGAGTAACGTTACTTCAAAATTACATTACTTAAGTAAAAGTGTGTAAAATCCCTCAGTCGTCCAGGTAGAAAAGATGGCAAAAGGAGAAATTCAAAAGTTTTTCTGATTGAATATGTTTAGCAGTAGTAGCAGTAGTAGTAGTAGTAGTAGTATTAGTAGTAGTAGTAGTAGTAGTAGTAGTAGTAGTAGTAGTAGTAGTAGTAGTAGTAGTAGTAGTAGTAGTAGTAGTAGTAGTAGCAGCAGTAGTAGTAGTAGTAGTAGTAGTAGTAGTAGTAGTAGTAGTAGTAGTAGTAGTAGTAGTAGTAGTAGTAGTAGTAGTAGTAGTAGTAGTAGTAGCAGTAGTAGTAGCAGTAGTAGTAGTAGTAGTAGTAATAGTAGCAGTAGTAGTAGCAGTAGTAGTAGCAGTAGTAGTAGTAGTAGTAGTAGTAATAGTAGCAGTAGTAGTAGTAGTAGCAGTAGCAGTAGTAGCAGTAGTAGTAGTAGTATAGTAGCAAAGTAGCAGTAGTAGTAGCAGTAGCAGTAGTATAATTAGTATATAGTAGCAGTAACAGAAGCAGTAGTAGTAGTAGCTGCAGTAACAGAAGTAGTAGTAGTAGCTAGTAGTAGTAGTAGTAGTAGTAGTAGCAGTAACAGTAGTAGTAGTAGTAGTAGTAGCAATAGTAGTAAGCAAATTGCAACATAAAGATAGTAGTAGTAGTGCAGTAGTACAGTAAGTATAGTAGTACAGTAGCTAGCAGAAGTAGTAGTAGTAGTAGCTGCAGTAACAGAAGTAGTAGTAGTAGTAGCTGCAGTAACAGAAGTAGTAGTAGTAGTAGCTGCAGTAACAGAAGTAGTAGTAGTAGCTGCAGTAACAGAAGTAGTAGTAGTAGTAGTAGTAGCTGCAGTAACAGAAGTAGTAGTAGTAGTAGTTGCAGTAACAGAAGTAGTAGTAGTAGTAGGTGCAGTAACAGAAGTAGTAGTAGTAGTAGGTGCAGTAGTAAAATCCCTCAGTCATCCAGGTAGAAACCATGGCAAAAGGAGAAATTCATTTTGTAAACTGGACAAAAGTTTATCTTTATCTTTAATACGTTTCGCAGCTCATCCAAGCTGCTTCTTCAGGTTTGGTGAAGAACTGTAGGAGCAGCCATTGATAAATTGAATTTCTTCTTTTGCCATACTCCAGTAGAAGTACAAACAGTGGTCCAAGTAATAACTGAAGTCAGAGTACAAAACTACTACTCAAGGAAGAGTGAAAAGTGAATATAACTGGAAAGACAAAACATTAAAGGGCCTGCGTTATGCTATTTTTCTGATCTATGTTATAATGTTGTTTCCTCATCACAAACAGATCTGGAGTTGCATTTTGTTTCGTTCACGCATGTTTAACACACAAACCCTCTGTTCCACCTTATGATGTCATGTGGTAACTGTTCAGTCAATCAAATCAGTAAACTCTCTACTAGAATCATCTGGAAGATTTCAGTCCTGGAATTGCCAATCTCTACTGAACAAAAGGTCAAACGTAGCTGTCAACTTGACATCACAAAATGGAACAGAGCATTTTGAGTTTTGGAGATGTAGACAGACTCAGACATATGTAAATGAAACAAAACACAACTCCAGGTATTAAACCAAAGATCTCGTCTTCTTATGTACTCTAACTTTTAGGGTTCTTTTTAAAGACAATACAGTAAAGTGTATTTCCTTTGTTGACATGTTTCAGCTGCTGTCATCTTCAGAACTGTCACCGATGTTGGTTGTATTACAGTTTGTTTACTTCAACTCCAGATCAGAGAGGCAGCGTGAGCAAAGCTATGAAGTTTTGTAATGTAATGGTAGAAATAGTATAAGATCAGAGGTGGGTGTAGTACTCTAATAAGTTTTTTTTAAGAAATTGTACTTTTCTTGTAGCATACTTTTACTCCTACAAGATTAATATTTTTTCTAGTGTCCATGCTTTGAGAATACAAGATTTTCTGCATTATTTAAAGGTCCTGTATTACACAAAATTTTGTCTTGAGAACTTTAAACCATGTTACAATGCTCTTACCTCATCAAAAACATAGCTGGAGATGTAATTTCTTGGGCTCTTTTTAAAGACAATACAGTAAAGTGTATTTACCTCGCTGACATGTTTCGACTGCTGCATCTTCAGAACTGTCCCCAGTGTTGGTGGACGTGTTGACGTGTCGTGTATCAGCTGTTGTTACTTCAGACTGATGGACCTGGCAGGTCGCTCAGACTGACCACGCCTCCCGTCGCCCGGTGTTCTCTGGAGGAGGATGTCCCAAGTGTGTGTAAACGAAGCAACGCTCTGTCATCACGGTTAATTCTGTCCGTACCTCGTTTCCTGATTTCACTCTCTTTCCTGATCCAGCGCTTGAACTTGTTGTTTTCTGATCCAATGACCCGAGCCCTGTCCCAATCCATAATGTGGTTATTCATTTTCTGATATGGCAGATTTTCCTCCTCCAGAGAACACCGGGCGACGGGAGGCGTGGTCAGTCTGAGCAACCTGCCAGGTCCATCAGCCTGACCACGCCCACAGTGTAAGAGAATTTAAGTCATTTATCTTCCACGTACATCTCGGTTTAACACTCAAAGATCACACTATGTTCACTTTTGAAATCATACTATGTTGAATTTTCAAGTCCCCACGGGCCCAAATTATTGATGGTAAATAAACTTCTCCTGCTGAAGACATCCAGTTTTATTAAATTTTTTATTTAGATGAATTGTCAACAAAGCTTAGAAGATCTAAAACAGGTTGTGTGGCTGGAAATCTGGAAATCTTGTTGGAATCATTTAATGTATGCAGATGATTTGGTTGTTTTCAGTCCGAGCACCGCTGGTCTGCAGCAGCTACTTAACATCTGTTCAGCTTATGGTGTGGAGCATGACCTGAAGTATAATGCAACCAAGAGTCTGGTCATGATCTGTAGGACTAAAGAAGATAAGCACATGAGATTTCCTGACTTTTGCCTGTCAAATGTTGTGTTGTCTGTTACAACAAAAACTAAATATCTCAGGCAGATCATCAGTGCGACATGACAGATGATGATGAAGATGATGATGTGTACAGACAGTGTAGGCCTGTGCTCTATGCTCAGGCAAATACTCTTATGCATAAGTTTGGTTCTTGTACAAATGATGTAAAGCTGTTATTGTTTAAATCATATTGTTCACCGTTGTACACAGCTCACTTGCAAAGACTGCAGGTGGCCTACAATGACACTTTACAGGTGCTTTTGAGGAGGCCACGATGGACGAGTGCGACTGAAATGTTTGTTGCTGCTCGAGTGAACACTTTGCAAGCTGCACTAAGAATTGTAATGAACAGTTTTATCTGCAGACTGAACAAATCAGACAATGAAATAATAATGTCACTCACAAATCTGAGATTCAGTGCAGTAAGATATCAGTCCAGTATATGAAAACAAAGGTGTGTATGTCTTTTAAAAACATGAATGTTTATTGTTTTGTATAGTCACTGTCCTTGTCTGGTTTTAAAATGGACCATGAGTCCTGGATGATGATGATGATGATGATGATTTATTGAACAAGCTGAAAACTTCTACAGCAGTTTTGGTGCATCCTTTACTATATAAAAGCAAGTGTGGTGAGACTATGAAGGCCAGTAGGCACCGGTTAGACAACAATATGACACAATTTAGATAGTGGTACGCTAATGGTATGTCAGAAGAAGATCATG